ACTATGAATTCGAATGCTCTGTTGTAATTTCAAAGCATATTCCAAAATATGCATTCATCAACCAAGTATGTTTATAAGAATATGATTTCTCCCGGGTTTTGCAGCATAAAGCACAAAATGTTGCTCTCAGATGTGTAGAGTCGATTTAGTCAAGCTCCGGCTCCGTTATATTTGAGTAACTGCTGTGTTAAATGAATCGTGCATCATTTCATTGGCTAAAAAACTTCTTGCTAATCATACGACGAACTTCTATAAGCAGGTAATCAATGCCCTTAATGGTATTTAATATTATTTCTCTAAGAATGAGCTATGTGGATTCCTGTGTTGAAGTATGCTAATAAGCAAATAATTGTTTCGCAACCACGTTGCACAGTGTACGGCACCACCCGTTTACTCAAACATGATGGAATAGTGGCATGCTTAAATGGTCTCGAACATATCGAAAGCAGGGGAGTATAATGCCTCACTAAATAGGTGGATAAATACATAAATGCATTGGGTGATTGATTGAGTGATGGATAGAGGGACGAATGGATAAAACTCCTCAAATGCAAATCAGAAGAAAACAGGCAATTCTTGATTTCGAATCAGTAAGTACAAAATTTAATACGAATTCCACCTGCGTCGAGAATGCTGAATGAACTTCTTGTGAACACTGAGAGCAGAGTCTGATTGTTGGTTCAACAATCCACAGCAATCGGTTGAAAATTTGAAATAGAATGTTCATCAACAGTTGAAACCACACCGGAGTTTTACGCAAATTTTACTCGAAAGCGATGGCAGCACTATTCATGCTGAGACGCTCATTATTATTCCTAAGCAGTCATTACTGTAGAGGACAAGAAAGGGCATGATTATTGAATAGATTTATGGGCAATTTTAATTTCAAAATACTTTTGCCTCCTTCAACAAAGATTATTGATGGGCGGCGTGGAGCCAAGCCTGAAAATCATCAAAACGTGAACTTGGTTAATGTCATTTGAAGTAAGTAGAAACACTATATCATATGACTTCAGGGTTGAAGATATTGATTAAGCGAACTATGCTATGCATAGGAAATTACATGTCTTAGTCTGTGTACAAATGATGATACTTGCAAAACAAGAGTTTTCTGTAATATAACACCTTGTTATTATTTTAAGTTCAAAAGGTCACGAGCAGCCGCAGACAGTTCGTAAACGATGGGGGCAATGATCATTGGCAAATGTCAGCAGAAGGAGCTTAGGTACATCAGGTTGTTGAGTTGCAGCCCTTAACCAAGTTAGCTTAAGCATCAGCACAGCATCACTCATAAGTCAAATTTTTACTGAAGCATAAACAGCGGCGTTTTATTCTATCATTTATGACTGATATCGCTTATGACTAATTAAAATTCAGAAATATTACGACAACAAAGTCAATCAGATACAATCTGCCAGTAAGATCTCCATTGTCTAAAATTCAATTACATTACCTGCAATCAGATCACACTGTTGTAATGCAATGCAGATGATCAGAAGGAAGACGCTCGAAATGCACATGTTGATTGAAGGAACCATTCGATTGCAAAGTTTACGCAAACTATGTCGAAAATTGAAGTAAAATTCTTAAGTCAAGTTTAGGTGACCCAAGCGTCTCCGTTAATTCGTTTACCGGTGAAACCAGTCCTCCGCTAAATAGGCAAAATGACACTACACGATTGCTTTTCCTTTACTTAGGTCATTGACTGCTATTTAATAAACGTGA